AGAACGTATCATGAACCAAATGCAAAGGGAAGAATTGAACGAGCAGCGAGAAAGAGAAAACCATTTGAAGCAACTTGAAGAGGAACAGAAACAGCTTAGAGAAATGGAGCAGTCCAGGCTCTCGAAGCTTTCAAGAGACAAGGGCAGCAAAGAATTTCTGGACACCATCGAGGCTCTATCGGCAGACGAGGTCGAACGAGAATTCCAAAAACGTCTTGAAGCAATGAGGAATCGTCGGGAATCTGCTGAAGATGAAGAGGTAAATGCATCACTTTTCGTTATCCTAACATTTGAAAAGTTTTTTTGTGTGCACGGAAATAACACGCAAATTGCTGGTATGATATTTTCTGGAGTGAGATCTTGGGAATTGAAGGATCCTCGCAAACTTTATTTTCATATGATAATTGCGTGAGATATGGTACATGTTCACACACAGGGGAAAAGTATGTTTTTTTTAAGTTTCCGACAATGTTTTTTCGCGACAGAGACAAGTGTGCGTAAATTTTTATCACCAATCTTTCGTTATTACAAAGTCTTCAGCGTAATTGAGTCGAGGATCGAATAACTACTCCTTCCAAAAACGTGTTTCTCGTTTTCAAAAAATTTCCTTTCCATTGAAAGTAGAAACGGTTAATGCTACCGACATGATTGTTCCGTTTTTATCCCATAGAGTGATTGGTTCAATTATAACTGACGTCAGTGCTTTCAATTTTACTCGATTTTTTTTCACACTTTATTACTTTTATTCGGTGTCTTTGCTTGATATTGCCAAACTCAAGCAGTTTAGTTTCGTACAAACTGTTTCGCGTTGATTCTTCACGAGAAATTGATATCGATTGCTTTAAGTTACTATAGCTGCTTTTTTAAGGTAGGTTCATGTTTTCGCGCTTAGAGAAGTCTTTGTCACTGGTAATGCCAGATACCCCGACACAATTTTTTTCTAGTCTTTAGAATTTATAATTTGGTTGATTCCGTCGTCCACTTCAACGTTGGGAAGATTTGCCGCTATCTGAAGTATTTTTCCTTGAAACAATAGATTCGTTAACCGTGAAAAATTACCTAGAGATGTCTTCGAAGAATAACACGACTGACCGATCTTATCTAATATCCTGTATGACATGTTCGTTTTTCTTTCACATAGCATTTCTTTTCAGTTTGCCTGATGTTATTTCAAAAGGTTAAACTATTTGAAACTCATACTTGCGTTTTTGTCTTCATACACGAATGGTAGTCGAACAGTACACCTCTGCTAAAAATTTTTAAAGCGGTGAATGACAGATTTGGCTTTCGGTACTGTGTCCGAGATTTTATGGTTTTGGTGGTTTTTTTTTTTAATTTCTTTTCGCCTTTTCTCTTGTATTCTTCCCATTATTTGAATTTCAATTTGGTGAGCTTAGCTGCTGCAAACGCAGATGACTTCAATGCCTTGTGGATCATACGATGCATGTAATGTGAAATTCAAGATTAATGAATGGGTTCAGAAGTAAAAGTAGAATCGCCTCGAAGAATACTTTCGGGTCAACTTTGTAATAACTACTTCTACGCCTCTGAGTTCAATCCAAGTAGTATTTCCTGTAGCATTCCTAAAGATCCGGTGGCTAGTAACCCACTGAAGATCTTGACTTTTTTTATATTTTTACAATTGCTTTCATTTTTTGGATATTTTTCGTTTACCTTGAGAATCTAATAACCTTGACCATGCTCTTACTTGCAAAGTAGTCTCGTTCGAAAAAGATGGGCATAATTAGAGATAGCACAAGCAGTTATTGAGTTTTTTTTTTTTTTTTAAGAGAACTGCCTTTTTATTCATAGGTGCATGTGAATGAGGTATTAGCTCTATCTGTTATGGTTAGGACAGTAAATCGCTTCATTTTTTTAAAAATCTGTCTTGTATCGTAATTAAAGGATTGACTTGGGGTATAGTTTTGGTTGCACTTCGAATAAACGACTTGGTAAGGAACGTGGAAGGGCAAGGCACTCCTTCCGTCGATGACACCGTCAAAGGATCATCTTTGTCAACTGTGCACCTTTACAGAAGGATAACTAGTGTTTATAAATCGTTTCAGTTAGCAAAGCGAATGAAAGAGTATCATAAGAAAAACGAGTTTTTAATAGACTTTGATTCAGTAATTAATCCGACAGATCAGAGAAGATAAGATAGAGCAACAACAACAACAAAAATATAACACGATATAACGAATTAAGATATGATGTACTCGTGTTACATGTATATTTCAAAATATCCTAGCGTTTTAAGTCTATTTCTCCAAGGGTCACGTGTAAGGTTGTCTCGCAGTATTAAATTCACATTAAACCCTGTTTGTCTCCAGTAAAGAAGGGATGATACTTTATCCGCTGGACAACGCTGTTCAGTTTTGAAAAACGAGGATTTTGCTCGTCTTGGCCGAAATTTTAAAGCAATGGTAAACGGATCAGAGGAAAAGCTGAACAGCTTAATAATTTCTTTTTTTCTTCTCTTCTTCCTGGTCGTACAGGAGCGCACCGCTGGCGGACTGGTTTCAGTAACACGTGTCAAATACTACGCACCAGATAAGGAAGAGAGAATGGAGCGGGGGAAAAAGATTGACTTGCTACTCCAAGAAAACATCCGGCGTGAAAAGGAAAAGAAAGAAGCTGAAAAGAGAAGACAACAAAAAGAGGAAGAAGAGGAGATACTTCGAAGGTGATTGTTGAAGATATGGCTTAGTTTTAGTCTTGAGAAAAGGATATTTCACTCGCTAGATGATTTTGTATTATTACGCCGGCGAAAAAGGGATAATACGATTCTTTTGTGCAAAAGAAAAATCGACGATCGGTCGATAAATAATCACTTAACACTCGAAAGTTCTCTTGTCAAGGTGGTCGTTTTCTGTGCGAGTGATTTGGGAGAAGGGAGTGGAAAGGTCACGAGAAAGAGGTTGTAGTGCTCGTCTTAGTCTTGACACAAGTCAGTTCACGCGGAATCAAAATTGATACCGCGTCTCCCATTAAAGATAGATGTTATTAAACTGGAATCGCGATGCCCAAGTGTAACTAACTCCTGCGATCTGTGTTCTGTTTTCAGAGAACGACAGCAGCGCAGACTTCAGCAGTTTGAATTAGATCGCGAACAGCAGAAGGAGGCGCAGCGAAAAATTCAAGAACACCGTGACCGAGAGCAAGAGGAATGGTTGAAACAGCAACGAGAGAAGAGAGATCAGCAGAGAATGGAACAGGAGAAGCAACGGCTGGAGAAGAAGATGCAAGAGGAAGAAGAACGTAATAGAAAGAGACTTGAAATACAGCAGCGACGTGATCAGGACGAACGGCTGCGGTGGCAGCAGAACCAAAAGTTAAAGGAGGAAGAGGAAAGACTGCGAAAGGAGGAGGAACGAGAGGCGGAGGCTAGGCGTGAGTTCGAGCGCCAAAAGCAACAGGAGGAACAAAAGATCGTCAGAGAAAAGGAAGCACAATTGCGAAAGCAGCAGCTTGAAGATCAGATGCTTCAGGAAGGGAAAGTTCGGAAGCCTTCCGTCGAGGAGCACGTCAATGAATTGAAGAGTCGTGCGACAGCTGACTACGAACGGAGGCGAAAGCTGATTGACGAAGAGATAACTCGACGGCGTTCTGAACCACCATCGGCACTTCGCAATTCGGGATCAAATCGCCCCAAGAAGCAAGTATCCTTTTCAAATGTAGCGACAGAGATTCGCGAACCCGCTTCTCCAACATACGTGGTTGGGACAGCATCAGGTTACACAGCACGAGTTACTCCTGCCCCCAGTGTCCGGTATGTGAACACTCGTGCTCCTAGTGACTCTGAACCAGATTCTGCTAGGCCACCTCTCCCTGATGATGACGATGACCTACCGCCTCCTCCGCCACCGCCTCCTCCCCCTGACGAGTTGTTAGAAGACGACAATTTTCCACCACCACCTCCACCAAAATCGCTTCACAGCTCTGAACGATTTGCTGCTCTCAGTGGTGAGCGACCCTCGCGAAATGGTGGGTACACGTCCAGGGTGACGATCTCTGCCCCTGGGACTCGGGATCAAGCCTTCTACCCCCAACCTTACTCTAACACGGGAGTTCCTCTTCGACAGCCCCCAATTACCTCATCTTCCGCTTACCCAAGTTACGCCACATATCCTAGGCGACCTCGACCTGTGTCCTATCCAGCAGCCTTTGAGATGAATCAGCCAGGTCCTCCTCCGGCCCCTACAAGGTATGGTTCGCAGGACAATGTCTTAGACGGACCTCCATCTCGATCCCAGTCTCAGTACGCACCAAAGCCTGCCCGGTTGGATAGCGACGAGTTGAATGGGATGGAGATGACTCGCGGTCGCCTGGGTCGGATGTCCTTGACTGACGAAGAGAAATCCGAGGGCCAGTTTGTGTCCAAGAAACCAGAAAAGCTTGACTTCAAGGACAAGCTCAAAATGTTTAATAAAGACACACCAGAAGAGAAAGTCAGGACCTCAAGATGGGAGCAAGGACAACTAGCGCAAATGAATGGCGATTTAACCTCTCCTTAACGGTATTTTAACCGTCCATGAGTTTCGAAGTAAGCGATGATTACACTGTGATCTCTCTATCTGAATAGTTTTTAAGCGAAAAAAAAGCGATAAGGGTGACTGTGCCAGAATGTTCGTATATTTTTATACAAATCTCTGAGAGGAACATTAACAGTCTTAAAGTAAAAAACCCGTGTAATATCCATTGCGAGAGGCCTGTACTTACCGGTGTCAAGCTACGAGATAAATTTAGCAGTCTCAGTCCGTGAGGTTCTCTGAGTTTTCTCGTTGTCACTGGCTTATCAAGGGAAGAATGTTTTAAAGAAAACTTTAAGGTTGGTCAGATCACAACATTTGGTGTGAGTTTGACCCCATATGATGGAAATTTCTTATTTTACTTGTTTTTTTAACTACTTGTACGTGGGAAGTAATATCATGCTTTATATCTTCATTATCTTATTTTCAGTTATAAATACACAGAGAAATAACTATAGAATTATTGTTTATTCAAAAGTGCTCTAATGAGAGGTGTCGTTTTCTTATTAAGAGAGTCATATCAAACGCGAAAAATTGCTTGGGCTTGATAGAAGCTATTTGGTTGTACCTTTCTGAAGCTGTAGTTGACTCAGGATTTTTTTACTTATAATTATATAGGGGATCTTAGAGTACATTTACAATAACTTACTGTGACATTATGCATTCTTTCGTATTACTCTGGAGATAAAGCTCTTCTGTAACGTTTTCGATGGAGTCGATGCGTTCCGAAAGTATACCGATTGATCACGACGGAACGATTAGTTACCAAGTGGTTTCGAAAATAGCGCGTTGAAAGTTTTCGCAGATTTTCACTATTCTAAGCACATGGAATCCAAATAGCATTTTAATTTTTAACAAGTGTGTAAATAAATCCAAGCTCTGAGCATTAGTTAAATGTCTGTATATAATATACGTTTTGAAAGGTATAGAATTTTCTCGGATGGGAACCGGGTATCATACACACTTGCTGTCATTAGTTTCTAAGGAAAAGTTTTATGTAGTTTTGCGATCTTTAATAAAAATGTTAGACTGAGAATGAACTGAATCTGTGTCAATAGATGACTTGTTTCTCGCTGTCCGCATCGTGAAATTGGACACCCAACGCCTCTGGTGACACCGAGAAAAAACACCTACTCTGGAACGGAGGGCAATGGTGGCATTTGTTGAACAAGGCGTTGGAGCATGAACATCTTGTTTTTTTTCCCACATTTCTGACGGAAACGTGGGCTCAACTACCAGTCGCGGATCAAGAAATGGGGCCACGTCCGAACCGGATTATTGAAAAAGGTGTAAAAATAAGCCTTATGTCAGGGGTTGTCTAGCTGCTCAAACGATAAGTCAAACATGACGACGGCATGAACCCCCAAAGGACTTGAACGAGATAAACAAACAAATGCAACAGCGCACGGGTGGGCAAGAATGATAAGGACTAGCTTGGTGTCACCTAGAAACAGTATCAGGACCTTTCTGTGTGAAACTACCATACTTAAAACTAGGAAAATCATCCCTTGTTGAATATGTGGTAAAAATTTGACTGTTACTCTTCCATTTGCGTACTAAAGGCTCGTTATAGTAAAATTTGGTTAGCATATGTACGGGAGCCAACGCCCACAATCTTAGCTGTAGAATGCTGTGTTGTTATAGTTAAAATAGTTCTATATTGTGACAATCAATTTACACACACTGTCCATACGAAAAAGATCCGACACTAAAAAGTTACTCTAACGCAACGAATCATTTCTGCAACGTCTCTGGAAGTTGGCTGAATCAGGCTGAGAACACATGGCAAGGGCGTGTCCGCTGAGAACTGTATATCCATCAAGCCAGAAGCGGAAGCCAAGTTCCTTTCAAATTGCTGCGTTCTCTGAAGAAAACAGGAGAAAGGAACAAACATCAGTAGATGATAGTAAAGAATTTATTATACAATCTCTCATTCCAAGGAAACAGACCTTTTCCAACACGAATTTCATTTTAAAACTCTGGAGTTTTTAAGATAGTTGACGTTATTGTTACAAGTTGATGGGAAAATAATTTTACTAACCCTTTCTTGAAAAGCAATGGCAAATAAATTAGGAGCTTTTATCAAATTTTTGAAAAGGAAAAGGCCTTATAAACAAGTTTCAAGAGATAACATCAACAGCTATCCTCATTTGTTACCACCACCACCTTTCTTAGGAGAGGACAAATGGTTTACCCCTTCCTGTTCTGTTAATTAGAAGAAAAAAAAGCAAAGTTTTTATACCTTATGTAATCTCTGGCATAGAGCTGGATTGCGGCTTTTCATAGCCTCTTGAATCTCCAGCTACAAATGTATCAAATGAGGACAGTAAGCCATAGCATGTAAAAAAAAACTATGGTAAGGACTTTGCTCACTTAACCATAGCAAAATGTAGAGACCCAGAAATGCATACCCTGAAAATTTAAACCTTGGACAAAAGGGGCACATTAAGTTGGAGACAGACTGAATCATTAACCTGGGTTCACATGATCACTGGCCAGTGAGAACTCAAAGGCATGGGAAGAGCAGATGTCCAAGAAGCTGACAAGACACAACTGGTTTTTAGCTTGGAGTATGATTGGTTGAGAGAGTGACACAAACTTCATCAGAGTGATGTAAAGGAAAACAACAGTAATCACGAATAACTTTCAACACTCAATTGGAAATTATCTGGCCTGAATTGCACTTACTCTGTATTCATCTATTGGATATTCCAATAGTTGTGTCAAGATCTGGGAATAAAAACAAAATGAAAAAAACTTAAGATGAAATGCACACAGGTTTGATTTCTGTAGCCTGGTACTCTCTCTAGATGGGATATCAGATCAGTGAAGGCTGTTCACAGCACTTTTCCAGTTTTCTGTGAGTTTCCATCCAGGCTTTTTCATTATTTATCAAACAATCACAAGGCATGAAAATTAACTACACAAGAACGACTTGAAACACATTTCCCCACCTTTTCACTCAGCAAAGCATCCACAGTTGCTGTTCCATCATTGAGTTTTACAGTAATATTCCACTGGGTTGACATGGGATTTGGACGAGATAGCAATGTTGCAATGTAAGCCTATGTTACAGTTAAACAAAGGTGAAAGTTGACAAAAGTACATGACGTGATCAGCACTTCAACAAGGAAATATTCACCTGAAAAACTATAAACAAAACCCTTTACCACCTTTATCTAAAACTAAGCAGCAAGTAAACTCTTGCCCAAGAGTCATCTTCCACTCTGCTGGACCTCATCCTAGTTTCTGTTGCATAAAGAAACTAGGAAAAATATAGGTCCACTGAATGAGAAGCAAGTCTAGTTTCTGTCCCTACCCCCCAAATTTTTGATTTTCCCTAACAATCTGACAGAAACCATTTATACCAGTAAGCATACAAAAGTGCTATATCTTTCCCAAGAGGATATGTGGTGGTGAAACAGTTAGCACACTGAACCTTGAGTTGAGATACCTTGATTCAAGACCTGGTGAGGTTATTGTGGCAATACTCCCAATCACTTCATACTACAGAAACTGAGACAAGCACCAGCTGAATGAACTATTTCGTTTGAGTGCTGACTAAATTTTTGTCACGACACAATCTTGCATGGTATTTGCATCTGTTAATCTGTAATTCAGCACATAAAGAACCTTTATGCCTCTGCATTTCTCCCATTAGTATTTGCAGTTAACCTAGGCTCAAGCACACCAATAAGTACTTATTTTCAATACCAACCTTAACTCTGACAGTCTGATTCTCATTGTGAGGGGCATGTTTCAACACATCTGATAAGTACTTAAATGGAGCAGAACTATCTTGCAGATCTGTAATTGTTTGTAAATAAACAACCATTAGTTTAAAAAAGCAAGTTACATTTTGATTTGTGGGCATTTGATTCAAAACTATCATGTTATCAGTTTGCCTTGGATAGAGCAACTTTGCTCTTCATTGATGACCACACCCACTATTGCTGTACACCCTTATTCCTTCAGCAACCACATCCCATGCAATACATCAAGCAGGTGAGCTGAATAAGAATAATGCTGATGACTACTTTCTGCAGAATGACTTAGATGATTTTTGTTTTACAAAAACTTGTAGCTCTATACAAGGAAATGCAGCAACTCAAAAGCAGCATTCAAATGTTAAGAGCACAGAGTTGAAAGAGCTCTGAATTGGGCAAGCTACAGGCATTTTTATGACTCACAAATCTCCAATACATCCTCTACATGTTACCTTGTGTAAAAGCACTCAGGTGTTGATTTCCACCAAACTCAGTAGGAGAGGCATCATTGTCAAACTCATTATCTAGTTCTCTCTTGATAAGAACACCAGAGGACTTGGTGAATGCAAGTCTTTTTGTTGCCAAATGATCACTGTTAGTATTTGTTGGATTTCTCTTCATCTCTAAATCTTTGGTCTTGTCGACTGGCTCACATTTGACAAGAGGAACACATCCATGTCTTGGATTATTCTTTTCACCCATGAATCCTCTTTTCATGTTGTCTGAGGAATTTGATTGTTCATTGCTTGGTCTCCATGTATTGCCATCTGATTTTCTAGACATAGCAATAATGCTGTTAAAATTGCTTGATTTCTTTGCATGATCGCTAAATTTTGTTGATGAACTGTTTGATGCTATACTTGCTTGTTTTGACGCATGCACATGTCCTATAGTTTCTCCATTAGAAATTCTCTCATGAAGAGGTTTTATTTCCATGGAATCTGAATCATTTGCCAGTATATCTTCATCAACAAAGTCATCATCAAAGATCTCATCATAACATAGCATTTCACTGGGGATCATGTTCAACTTCACTGGAATACTTTTATTAGCTGTTGTGCTTGCTGAGGTTTGCATGTCTTTTTCAAGCTGATCTATTTGTTCCATATCAAAGTCCTCCTCAATCCCAAAGAAATCATTGTCAGCAACAGCTGCTAATAAGTCATTGTCATCATCAAAAAATTCTTCGTTGCAAACATTTTTCAATTTATCAACAGCACCAAACTGTTGAAGATCTCGACTGCAACTTTGAACCACTTTAGGTCCATTGGGTCCCTGTTGTTTTGATTTCCCTTTGTATTGGTTTTCATTTCCTGTGTTCCCTCTTTGATTGCTGTTGTTGCTGGTAAGACCCCCAGCACTAAAATTTCTTTGGTTTGTTTCTCTTTTCACCAGAGTTCTTGAATCCCTTAGGGTTGTAATATCAGCAGTTGAGTTATCTCGAACAGTCATCTGATCAACAGTGTGCATTTCAATGGTGATAGCTTCTGTTTTTATGCCATCTGGTTTTCTAGGTGGATCTTGCCCTCTAAAAAAAAGAAGAAAAATTTCTGCTATCCTTTACATCTTAGATGAGAAAATAGTTTCAGATTTTTTAACTTGGACCACAAAGTCCATCTGTAGTTACACTCATTTGTTGTTTATGTTGGGGGATCACCAACTACAGAAAAAGTATGTGGAAGCTGGGGCTATGATATAATTGTAAGCATGTCACAGAAACTGTTATCACTGCCTAGGGAATTAACAAATAGGAATACTTAGTACACCACTAATTGCAACTAAGATATCCTATCCAAAAGGATAGCATTAGACTTACATGGCTTGATGCAGCATGTTCCAGTAAGAGTTTTCTTCTGTCAGATGCATAATACTTCCACCTAATACCTTGACATTGCTGGGGGTTAGTAGGAGGGCTCCAAGTCTATAAGTTAGGGGACCACTCACTTGTATCTTTAAAGAGAGAAGAACAACAGTCATGGTATTGAAAGATTTTAATGGTTGTCACAAACATGGGGAAAAAAAGTGGCATGTTATGGTCTGAAATAGCATCAGCATTAGTGCCCCTATCACTGAGGTTAGGCCCAACAAACAAAGTGGCACAGGTTCAAAATCAAAATTCAAGTTTTTACTTTAGATCCAGGAGGTGTGTTGAATGCCAGGGATGGAATCTGTTGATACTCCATTCCAAATACAGTCTGTTTTCCATCTGTTATTTCAAGCAATAACATTCGACTTGGTTTTATCTTTGGTTCTGAGGGCTAAAAGTAAACAAGTAAGGATTATAACAGTAAGAGATGTTCAAAAGTGCACAGTAAGACCATATGTATGAGCTAAATTTTTTTCATTTTAAAGCCATGCTTACATTTGCTTTGAAGTTCAGCTCTTGAGGGTCATCTTGACCTTTAAGTTTCTGAATTTGAGAATATGCTGATTCTCCAACATTAAGGACTGAGTTAATCTGTGAGACCAGGAGAATGTAAAATCAATACTATGAAATAACTTTCCTTCACAAAAACTGTTACTTCTCAGCTAGTATCAAATGGTAATTATTGTAGAGTAATTTAGTATTATCAACTGAGTTGAAAAACATAAATTGGCCTCTGTTCAGAGTTTTGAAGCTGACATTTTGAGTGTTGGCCCTTCCTCAAGATTAATGGATGGAGGTTAGGTGGGGGTCTTAAAAGTAATTTTAAAACATGCAACTTCTCCTTATAATATCCTTTCATTATCCTGCAAACAGGTAATGAGAATACTCAAACGTATCAGGTAAAAGTTGTCATTTCGATTCAACACCAATTTCTTGTTACAAGAAAGATGGAGATGTATACCTCTCCCTTATTGGAATGAAACTGTATGTGCTGCAGAACACAGTACAATTTCCGGGTCTTGAATTGGTCTCATACAGGGTAAGAATTCTCTAGTTAGGATCCTGGCAATTGTCTCTCCCAAACTAAAGCCTGGAAGATTGATCTGACTGGGTGTACACCTTAGCAGAGCATGATTTACATGTGTAGTGTGAATAATTTTTGACAAGTGAACTCTAGTAATATCTGTTATATATGCAAAACACGGTCAAGAATAGAGGTCTCTACTACATTCTACACAAGGGTCACCGTTTAAAGCCTTCAGTGACACAACCTTCAACCAAACTTCTTTTCTCTTTCAAGTTTTAAAATCTTATCCTTCTAGCCAACTAAAGCATGAAAACAGTTTATCCCTTTCATGAAAAACCCTATTATTAATGACAAACATCATAATTACTGCTCAAAGTAATAATTAATTTTATTTATTCATAAAATCATGCCAAAATTGTGATGTATCATCTGTAACCTGAAGATTGAAAGTCCCCTCGAGTTTACAAATATCCTGGTTCTCAAGGCCTTCTGGAAGACAAGGACGACTGGATTCCTGAATTTCAGCCATCAGCCACTGCTCATACACAAGTTCGTTCAGTTGATCAGGAGACAACGTTCCCTACAAATCAAAAATTATTTAATGCTGCTGTAATTTGATTGTTAAAATTAAACGTAGCCGGATACACCCATCATTGAAACTTAAAAACGGGCCAGCTGCAACAATTATTCACCCCCAGTTGTCGTACCTCATTGTCTTCTTTCACAAAACTTATGCAAGCATCTAGCCAGTCATTTTGACAATAGGTATTACGAGACTCTAGCCACCGACGGACGACCGCCATTTTGAATCTAGCGCGCGGAAGATGAACACATGCGTAGTACGTTAATTATGACGCAAAGGTTGTCGGGGACGGCCATATTTGTTGATGGCAACTGCAAACATTCTGCACATTTAGGAAGAAATATTTTTTCTAAATATTAACAGTTTTACAAAATGCTGCAAGGAGTGCATCTCGTTGGTGAGGATGAAGACGACGTCTACGGTGGTTTTAACGATTACAATCCAGCCTTTGATACAGAGGTTAGTCGAAGTTGTTTTCGTGTGAAGCGCCGTTCACCGAGAGAGATTGTACGAAGTGATCTGTACTATGATTACGGAAAGTTTTGCGCGAAACTTTACAAATCCTGGATTTGAATACTGGTTAAGATAACTTAAATGCTCAAATAATTGAAGTGGTAAAAAGTCAGCCACCTCTTTTTTCTCCTTTTGCCTAACGTGGCAGCCAGTTAAACAAAACTGAGACAAGATCATGCACAAATAGGAATCTTTTACTGGTCCGGCTAGATTCTGACCCAGACTTTTTATCTTTGGTCTAAAACAAAGGTTTAAGCTTTCAACATATTCCCTTATCTCCCTTCTCTACCGAAAAGCTTAGGCTGCACAATTTGTACGTGAAAAAATTGTACTTTCAAATTGCATTGAGTGTTGCAGGTAATTTTTGCATTGTTTTGTTCAGGAAACTTAGGCCGCCCTCTCAGCCAGTCAGATGCAAAACTATCTCATCATGATTCCGTCAAACCTAATTAGATTTCGATTAAAATTTATCCAAGTCATTGAAGCTTGACTGTTCAGAAGGATTTTTCATTAGTCAAGAGATTTGTCATTTGAATAGCAATTGTTTTTTTCGGGTTGATTAAAATCTGTGTGTGGCCCTATCAACTAAGTGATCTTCCTCTGTTTTGGTCATAAGTACTACCAATGTGCCTGAAATAAGATTGCAAAGTTTTCAAGGCGTTGAGATATATTGCAAAGTTTACATTTTATGTCAAAAGTCCAACCTGTTGAAATGGAGGATTTCCACTTAGTTATGCTTTCAATAGAATGTTAGTGGTTAAAAAGGTGGTAATCCATGTCAGAAGTGACTTTGTTGTATTACAAATGATTGTACTTCATTATAAGTATATTTACCATGATGTTAACTACATCATGATAACTTTTAATGGCACATCATCAGTTTTCTAGATGTGCCCCTCTCCTCTCTGATTACTTGGAATCAAGACCCTTTTTTTCTTATAGATAAATTATTATCTCTATACTAATTATTGTACATACATATTAACATACTGGAGAGGAGGAAAATAGAATAACAAAAAAGTTACAAAATGATTCACAGCAATCTTAAATACAGTGTAATTTTTTCTATAACTTGCAATCAGTACAAATGGATTAACCTCTTTCCTTAGCAGTGCATTTCTATTCATCAACATCATCAGCAATAATTAATCAATACTGTGTTTTTGTTGATGAGTAAGAATCTGTTTGATATCCTATTAAAAGACCCTTGAAATTGATTGTTCTGTTAAGCACAGTCTCCATATCTAGCAGCCAAAATTGTGCTCTTTGAAGAATTACCAAGTGCATTAAGGCTCTTTTCTCAGAAATCAAGGCTGCCCAGCTCTTGAAAGCATGCAAATAAGCAAGGATGGATCGTGCAAAGACAAAATTCATTTCACTTTGGCACTTGTGCTCTGCTAGAGCACAGGCGTGCATGACAGGTCCATGTAAAAATGTTTGTACAGTATCTAAAAATTTAAGAGCACGGAGCAGTATTATGAATAGAGGATATATCAGTTGTCTTGAATTTCACCCTTATGCTAATAGAATTAATATGTAGAACTGTAACCTGCAGTTTGTGTCATAACTTAACCTTAATTTCTATTTTATTCCACTAAATCCTACCAAACATTTTCTTTTGGATTTTTAGAATCTCGAGGAAGATGAAGAATTTCAACAAGCCCTGAAAACAAGTCATGGACAGAGACCTGGTTTGGTGAGTATCACATTTTGTTGTTGCCTTTCATTTTGCACTTAAAAGAGTTTGGTACCGGAAAGTCAACCCCCATAATATAACCCCCATAACTTGAAGCATACAGTTTGTTATTTTTCTTCTAAAAAACAGCGTTTCCTTTTATAACTTTGTATTGTTCAAACTACTTAGTAAACTAAAGAAATAGGAAAAGAGCTTAGGAGCATTTTTATTAAAATGAGAAAGGATGTTGTGTATGGGATTGGTTCACTTTAAAAACTGACTATGCATATATTTGATTATTTTGTAAATAAATGTGAGCTGATCCCAAATTGTAACAACCTGCTGTAATAGTTAATTAAAGATATACATTTTTTTTTTTTTTTTTTTAAACAGTTTTATTTACAAGACGATCAGCTACACTACTTACAGTATTAATTACACTTACATTGTACTTGCTACTTACACTACTGATACTTATACTTACACTAATTATGCATACACTACATTACGATACATGTATTACAATACTATTAACATTAATTTAATTTACGGTTGGCGTGTTTACAAAGTTCTTTTCAATTAAAAGACAATCACAAGTAAGCATACAGGTCTCAAAAATGCTACATTTCTTTGGATATTTACTTTTGATATAGCTTAAACAAATATTTATGCAATTAAGTATAAGTCTAACCTAAAACAACAGCAGCATGAAAAATTTAAGTAAAAAAGCCCATGTGCGATAAAATTAAAGATATACATGATGTGTTTGGTGTACTTACATATGATGTCAATATGAAATTATTTCAGACTAGTGCAATTTGTATTTTCTGCTTGTTGAGGATTATGGTAATGGACCTAGAACTGTGGAAAAGACAAGTCAAACTACTTTTTTGCAGTCTTTTTGACCTGCAATTTATTGTGAATGGCAGTGCAAATGTTGTGATCCTATATTTTACCTTGTTTAAGATTTGTATTTTCTTCCTCAAATTACAGAAAACTGGCATGAAAATATCCACATCAGCTGGGGTATGATACAACTTAAATTGCTATTTTCAAAACCATCCAAGAACTTAAAGTGTTCCTCAATTTCACTTATTGTTATCATTTCTCTTAAATATACATTTAGCGAGGGAAAGTGCCAGGATCTTCAATGGGACGACCAACAACTGGAATTGCAGTGAGTTTATGGTCTTCTCTTGCCTTCTTTTTTTTATGAGTTATTTTTGTTTTCTGCACATAAAGGTTAATTATTATTGTCAAGTTGCTTTTAACTGCTAATGCTTATCCCTGGTTTGTGTAGCACAGATTGAATAGGATTATGGTTAGTCCCTCTTAGATGGTATGTTAGTCTGTTAAAGATTCTCTCCAGTGCCCCCTCCCAAACATTTTGTCAGGTTTCCCTTGACAGTTTGTTGGTAATTGTTTATTTTTTCTGGCTCGAGAGAGGCACTGTGAGGGTGAAGTGTCTTGGCCATGACCCAGTCAGGACTTGAGCCCAGGCCTCCAGATCTAGAGTCCAGTGCACTAACCACTAGGCTAAGTTGTATCTCTCTTATATCTTAAGCATTTGTCAAACATTTTGGTTGAATTTTGAGTGTCAGATCTCTGAAATGTCAATGTTTGTATTTTTTTCATTGTTTTTGTACAGTCTATGTAGTAACAAAACAACCCAGATTGGGAGAAGAGATTGATGTATATAGTTTTAAAGCATTTAGTTCTGAAGTACATGTTTAACTACAATGTAAACAATGAACATTTCACCCTTGAGAAAAATGATATTATGAGAAGAACAATATCATGAGAATGTATACCAATAATTGAATTTGCAAAGAATAAAAAGGAATATTGTCTGATAGTGAAATACTTTCTATCTAGGATACAGGAATGGCTCGTCCTATGACTGCAGTGCGTGCAGTGGGTTACACATCATCAGAAAGTAAGTACTGAACTACAAGGTCTTGAGGCAGGCTGCATTCTTTGCAGTGAACACTGTATCACTGAGTACCAGCAATACTACTAAAGAACAGTTTGCTTCTACTGTCGCGTACCCAAGTGTTGGGATTACGTTGAGTGTCAACCACATATACACATCCGTCTCATTCCAGTTTTTATTGAGTACGACGTGTTACAATGCGGTGAAAACTAAAAGGAAATTTATGATTGCGTAATCAGAAATGATTCTATGGAAATTACAAATGAATGTAACGATTAAAAAAGGCGATTAAATTTACAAAGGAAACTCACGTTTGATCCTGCGTAAAAAGGGTAAAAGAAACTCCGTGGGAAAGTGACTCCAGTTACTCCGAAAACTCCAATAACTCCGATAGAAAACTCTAGATGGATATACTCCGACAACTTACTCCGACACTCCGATATGTGATACTACAGAGATTATGTAAGCAACAGGCTTTAAACATGATAGGCGGCTAATAACACGATCAAATACGCTCTGATAAATGATTAAAAGAATGAACAATGAAACGATAATAGAATTTAAACGATAGTAAATAATCACACAAAACAAAACAGTTCAGTTCATTTCAGTTCAGTTCGCTTGCTGAACGTTCGTCACATCTACTTTATATACATATACACTGTATCTTGCATGAGTACAATTGAACCTGTATTGAGCAGCACCATACTAAGCAGTCACCTTGTATTAAACATTTGGTCATCAAAATTCCAAATTTGTTTCCCCTTAATCACAGTAATTTTTACCTCTATTAATTGGTCACCTCTATGAGGCAGTCACAATCACCTTTGAGTGAGTCCCAACAGCCAGTTTGTATTTTCTTTCACCTGTTTTGAGCAGTCACTTAATGCAGAACTACTTGAATAGAACTAAGATAACCTTTTAAGTAAAATTTAATCCATATTTCTCTCCTGAAATCAATGTCTGTGGTATTTTTGAGCAAGTTTTTGTACAATAAATGGTCAATTATGGTATAAAATGGTGTTTTTTTTATGGTTTTTCATATTACCCCATATTCTCCAGAACATGTATTAAGCAATCACCTACCGTTCCCTGTGGGTGACCACTCAATACAGGTTTGACTGTAAATTTTGTTGTCAAGAACAGTTAAGGGTAAAATTCATTGCCTAAATATATTTAGTAATCTGTGAACTTTTTCATGTTTGTATTGGAATGAGTAGTAATTGTTGATGTTATTTTAACATTGCAACTGCTGTCAGGGGACTTTAGTTACTTTATTTTTTGATTGAACACTAGGATTTGTATACTAAATACCTTGTTGCCAAGCTGGAGTTGTGATAGTTAATTCAGTAGAATTATAGTGCACATTTTTGTTTTCAAGGTGTAGTTAGTTCAGTGTTAATGGTGAGATGTGTGGCTGTCTTAGATAATGGATGTTAACAGTCATAAATAAACTTATTTGCACCTTGTTAACCAGATTAAGTTTGGATCAAGTGTCAGTGTAAAATATGGCATATACTAATGAATTGTACTTCGAAAAGATGAAAGATGGTAAAATGCATTACAGTAACCCTTAACAATTTATTGACCATGTATTTACATGTACTGCCTTACAGAAACATCCATGACTGGGGGTGCCCAGTTTGACCCTTTCAACCAAGCACGTTTACCTGCCCCTCCCCTTGAAGGAAAGGCAGAGGAAAGGTTGGTTGTTGATTCTATGTAAAGTACGTGTGTAATATTTAAGTTCATAATTCTAACTCATCAATTAGGGGCAACCTTGGTAGGTGCCTCAGATGATGGTGGACCCAGGGGCATACAAGCTTAGTATTACATCAACATAACTGTCACACTGAATAAAGGAAATTTGGCTGAAATTGAAAATGTATATTTGCCAGTGAAGGAAGGGAAGGGGAGAGAATTTTTCATAAAGATGCGAAACAACACAGGGAAATCTTTGCACTATTAGTGTTGTAAGGCCTTGTACAGGGTTTTCTTTAGAAAGCTAAATTTGAGATGACAGTTTCACTCTACAGGAGGGTTAGACCCTCCTATTTCATAGAGGCAAGGTGATCTTATGTGCCACTTATTCTGCTATGGTAGTGCTCATAGTTTAAAACATAAGTGAAACTCTTGCTGGAGACCTTTTTACTTTCTGAGCTCCTAAATATAGATACAGTTAATCTTTCATAGTGTTGTTCTGCACTGCATCAAGTTAGTAGCAATACTTCAAACCACCATTACATTGAGTTTAAATTGCCTCATGTTGGTTTCATTTTACAGTTATATTAAACCCTTTGAAATGTAGTTCTTAGTGTGAAATCTGATTGTTACTGATTACTACACTCTACTATCTCTGTTATGTACCATTTTCCAAAAGTATTCCAGTACATTGATTATTAGTTTGAAAATTTTGTCATAAAGAGCAAATGATGACACGAGACTTGCTTTATGCTCAACAGTCCGGAAGAAAAAATTAAGCAAATGGAAAAGAAAGTAAATGAACTGGTTGAAGAGAGCTGCTTTGCTAATGATAGAGGAGAATATCCTCTGGTAAGTCAAATGCATTTTTCAAGATACTTGTATATGTTCTCAACACTTTGAATTGAAATCTTCAGAAATTGTTTTCTATATCTTCTACTCTGCTCCTTTATCCAAGTATGTCGTGTAAGAAAACACTAAAAAAAAGGCTTAGATTAGAGTAAACTCCATCTAGGAATAGATGAAGTACAAAATTTTTGTGCTCACAGTTTCAGTGACCTTCGGGATAAGGTACTGTAAACCTGAATACAATGTACAGTTCTGATTTATGGGCCAGTCCCAATGTTTTTGTATCATTTAGCAATTCACATGTAGGAGGCAAGGCACCTTTGAATAGAAGATCTAATACAGCTTCCTACCTTTCCAGAAAAAAAAAAAAATGGCTTTTGAACCCTTCAGGACACTGCATGTGTCTGGACAAAACTTGGGACAAATGTTTTCTGAACTGTGGGTATGGTTAATAGTAGTTGATGGTATTATTCTTAATTTTTCTCTAAAAAGGCCCTTGAGAAAGCCAAAGAGGCGGGCAGGAAAGAACGTGCCTTATGTCGTCAGAGGGAACAGTCATCCCTTGGAGAACAGGTCAATCTGGATATGACTTACTCGGTGAGCACCTTGTTGTAATTTCATTTGGATTAATTTTCCCTTCAAGGAGAAAGATGAGGAAATTTATAATCTCTACTCCCTACAGTTAACAGTGACTTGTTCTGTAGTCACTTCTGTTATAATTATTTGGTATATTTATCCCTGTATCATTTATATGCTGTCATTTAGGTGTTGTTCAACCTGGCCAATCAGTATCATGCCAACAAACTGTATGCAGAGGCGCTGAACACTTACCAGGTTATCGTCAAAAACAAGATGTTTAGCAATGCAGGTAAACTTCATTTTGCACATATGTTGAGGCTCACTCTTTCCTGTTCAAAATTTTTCAGCGCAGTTGATTTCTAGTAATCTTTATTTCAGATTACAATAAATTTGAACCAGACAAGTAATGTTATCATAATGGTGTACCCATATGATGTATGCCTCCTTTTGTATATGTAATGTTTAGGCCTAGAAGTTGAGGAAAATGGTTTCCAGTGTACTTTAATTGTATGAATAACTTTGCCTAATTATGGGAATTTATTTTGTTATCCTGCACACTGAGAAAATATCATTAATATTGGTGCTAGTTTTATTTCATGAAAAACATTTTCCTTTAGGACGGTTAAGAGTGAATATGGGTAATATCTACTGTGAACAAAAGAAATATCCCCAGGCAGTGAAACAGTATAGAATGGCCTTGGATCAGGTGCCCAACACACACAAGGACATGAGGTATGTGAAGGGTACAAGATCAGAAAACAATATCTAGTAGGGGTCAGGTAAATTTGCAAGCAATTTTGCTGTTGATTGTGACTTGAAGAATCTAAGGATGAAATTGATAATGCAGCAGTCATGTTTCAATATTTGAATCAAATGAATGCGACTCAAAGGCAGTAACATAGACAAATTACATGAAGTATTACATTTTATATTCTATAGTTTGGTTAAGAATTTCTAATTTTTTTAAGCAAAACCACAAGAAAAGAACAAGTGTCTTCAATTTTATTAAATATAATTCTTTCTTAGGATAAAGATCATGCAAAACATTGGTGTGGCATTTGTTAAGATTGGACAGTTTTCAGATGCTGTTACTTCTTTTGAGCACATTATGGGTGAGAAAGCAAGTTTCCAAACAGGTAAGATTGGTGAAAATACCTTAAGTCAACACTAATCATGAACCAACTCTTAAAATCTTTGCATTCAACTCATCATGATAAGCTGACTCGATCTCTTCACTCAAAGCCATCTGCAATATTGTCTTAATGAAAGAATCCTTAGCATTATTGGCTTTTGTTTCAAGAAGCACATACATTAAATTGTTTCCTCAAAACTGTAATTAAGAACCTCAAAAAGTACTTTGAGCATCTCAATCCTCAATTCTCCATACTCAAGCCTCTATTCTTGATCCTTGATTCTTGATTCTTGATAGTTGCAAGTATCGAGAATCAAGTTTGGAGTCAAGACTGTCCACTTACTTTTGAGCAGTACTTTAGGGCCAAAGAAGTAGTGCTTCATAAATAACATTTTTTAGTTATTACATTTCATAAGACTGAGATATGGAATAATCAAACCTGCAATTATTAACATAATGTGATATCTATGCATTCAGGATTCAACTTGCTTTTGTGCTACTATGCATTGGGAGACAAAGAAAAAATGAAGAAGACTTTTCAAAAATTGCTAACAGTTAGCCTTGGGTTTGATGACGAGGACAAGTACACTTTGACAGGGGTAAGAAAAATTTAAGTTCACATAATTTTGTAACAATTATTATTTGTGACTTCCTTTTTCAGTCTTACAAAGCTAGAAGAATTTATAAGATAAATTTTGCTTGTCTGGTGGGAGGAGTGCTTTATGAGCACTAGTTAACATTGTCCAAATCAAAACCTTCTTAGATGAAAGGGTGGATGAAAGTGTTTCACCTTGACTGGGTAGTGATTTTTTAGTTGTTTGCTTCTCCTTCTGCAATCTTACCAACAGTTGGATGTTAAGGGTTTACAGAATAACCAGCCCTGCTGCTCACAAATGAATAAAGGGGGTAAGTTTCTAAAGAAACTGTGGTGCAGCATCAGTGGGAAAGTCTAACAGGGTAATTTCGTATATTATCAAATGAGTTCATAACATAACTTTGCCACTGTAAAGAGAATCAAAACTTATACATAGCTTTGAAATTCTTTACCATTGCCAATTTATGTTTTCAACTCAGTTTACAATACTAAATTACTCTGCTGCTCATAAGACTGGGATCAGTGACACTTTGCTGGTAAGCTCCTAATTTAATGCATCATGCATTTCCTGTGTACAGTTGTATCTCCACACAGGACCCTGATCCTAGAAGTATGCAGGGCACTTGACACATGATCATAGTTTCTGCATGTGTGCCAATTTGGAATATTTAGAAGTTTAACGTGATTTTTTTGTTTCAATCTTCAAGGATGATCCTCAGCAAGCATTGATTTTGGAAGTAATAAGAAATGACAGGCTGCGACAAATTGAACGTCAAAAGTATGCTTGACAGTGGTTAAATTTCTTTGAACTGTGTATATCTTGTAGCTGTGGACAATAAGGGAGAGGTTTAAGGGTGTAGGATGAACTTTGTATTAACTGACAGATTTGTTTGGGACATAATTTGACTCTCAATTATAAGTGTGGGCAATCAACATTCCAAATGCATTGAATTATCCTTGGAACTTTTATTTTTTGGTAGAAAATTTGTTTTATTTGGTAGAAAAAGTAATAAGCAGACAAAGATCTTATCTTGAAAAATTGTTTAAATTGTGTTGGTCTAGATTGAAGTTAATAAATTGCAAGCTTTTCATTCCCACACTGTTGTCAATGAATAAATTTATTAAAATATTTTGTTATTTCTTTTAGGAAATCCCAAGCAGATAAATGCATTATGAGTGCTGCTAAACTCATATCTCCTGCAATAGAGAGTAGTTTTGCTGCAGGATTTGACTGGTAATGTAGCCAAGAATGGTTCTGTAATAATTTCAGATTCTACTGAGATGACATAGTTGATCCAGTTAAACTACACAGTGTACTTGAGCTCATGTTTTATTATGTTTTTTGTACTTATTAACAAGCCAAGTTAAAGAAGTCAACTTACTCTACTCTGAAACTGAGAAAATTGTGAATAACAAAAATATGTTTGAGGTGTTATGGTGTTCCATGGAAAGAGCCAATCAGTCATGAGAAAGCTAAACCCTAAACAGCAACAGTATTTAGTTTGTGGTTCAAAGGGTTGCTCACTTGTTGTGACCTTAGTTATGTTTGGTCAGCACACAAATGACAACATAAGAATCAAATCTAAGTGTTCAGAGTGTGCTGAGTATCACAGCAATTGAAAAAATTGTATAGAAAGCAAAGTGAAAATTGAGTTGATTAATTGCTTGCTATTGGCTTTGCAGGTGTATTGAATGTGTAAAAGCATCTCCTTACTTGGATTTAGCCAATGAATTAGAAATCACCAAGGCAATCACTTACTTGAAAGAGAAGGATCTTGCTAAGGTGTGGTTTGGTGGTTAATATAAAATTAACTGTAACTCGGTTTCATGACTACTCTACAGGTACTAATAGAAATACAATGTTTAACAAATTGACTTTGTTCACAAATCAAGTTTTTTTCTGTAAGGGTCACAATGAGTTTATTGATCGCCCTATAATATGTCAAATTCTCCAGTAGTCAGTTTTGAATTGATGTGCTAAATAAGCACGTTTAAAACTAAGAATGGTACTCTCATTTTAACTTATGCTTCATATTTTGCATTGATTGGCCATTCCATAAGTTTAACTGCTAAATGTAGTTCTTGTTGTATTCTGTATCATCTTTTTGTACCTCATTCACTAAATTTCTCTATAAAGGCCATCGAAACTCTCAAAGGATTTGAGAAGAAAGACTCCAAAGTACAATCCACTGCTGCCACTAACTTGTCCTTCCTATACTTTCTGGTAAGTTTCAAGTAAAATATGATGGATTATGTTTCTATACTCATCTGTAAAGAGGCATCATAAATCTAATTCTGTCTCTGCTTTGGTAATTATGGTTGTACATTTATACCAGGGTTGAAATACACCATATTCTCTATTGAACCTGGAATGTGGTTGGATAGTCTCAATGTGTACAGAAATATTTAGAAGCAAAGAAGCAGTCAAATGTGTGATGGTACATATTTCTTATTTAGGAAAATGAAGTGTCACAGGCTGACAAGTATGCAGAACTTGCCATAACAGCGGATCGATATAACCCTGCTGGTAGGTTGGCACCCACACATCATAAAGAGTTTGTATGTTTAATGTGAAGCAATGTAGGAGATGCTGAAAATTGAGTTATAGTTAAATTTGTCAATACAGTAAGGGCACTGTAACTCTATTTACATAGAAGTTAAGAGTACTGGGATTCACATGAGGATAACTTATTAACTGTTCATTTCTGTATTTTCTTTCAGCATTGGTTAACAAAGGGAACTGTTTGTTTGCCAATGGGGAATATGAGAAAGCACGAGAATATTACCAGGAGGCTTACAATGTAGAGGCTTCTTGTACTGAAGCTCTGTTTAATTTAGGTGTGTCTTGAATGATTCATTGGTAAATTAATGAGTCAGTTGGTTAACCAGTTAAGCAGGCAGGTGGTCACTCAGTTAATCTGTTAGACAGACGGACGGACATACTGACAGACAGACTGTCAGTTAGTCACTTAACTGGTGATCAGAGGCAATCCATCTGTCTGATGGCCTAATTAACCACATTCCTGCACCTACTCTTGAATACCAAACAAATCAAATTTGTTATTCATAAATACAACAAATCTCAATTATGGGCATTTTGAAGGAGAACTCTGAGAACTATTTTCTCATTTGATGTTACATATATTTTTTTCCCTGCTAAATGAACAGGTCTTGCAGAGAAAAAGTTGAACAGACTGGGTGTTGCTCTGGACTGTTTTTACAAGCTGCAGGCCATACTTAAAAATCATCCTCAAGTTCTTTATCAAATTGCAAGCATGTATCCTTTCTTAATCAATAATCAAATGAAATGTGACAAATATTCTATTTTTTATGCTACGAATTATATCTTGTATGCTCACTTTTTAATCAGCTTCATGTTGTATTACAGAGGTGACAATAACTCACTTGATAACATGCTTATACACTTCTATATTCCATTTAGGGAAAGAAAGTTTCCTTGTTAATGATATTATGGAAGATTTTTCCAACTTGATTTTGATGTAATAAGAAACTTTAAACACAGTAGTGCACAAGTTTGTTGCCAAAAGCAAAAGAGTAAAAAGACCAAGCACTCTTACTATGGAAAAATACTTATTTAAAGGTGATGAAAGTGTGGTAGAAAGGACAAACCATAATCATGGTGTATCCATTTAAACTTGTTTATATTTCTGTTTCATATCTCATGAACAAATTAATGACATCATAGCTTTGATTTCCTTGACATTGGCTCAGACATGAAATGTTAGAAGACAAATCTCAAGCCATTGAGTGGTGAGTCCAAGTGGCATGTGCAGAATGTTTATCTTGTTGCTACTACTAAATTTCATGGGTGCTTCATTGTGCAAAAATATAAGAATCATAGTTTGCAGGTTCCTATTTTATATTGTACTATTTCATGTTTTGGCAGAAAATTTTGGTAGTAGAGCTTTGATGTTGAAATCTACCATTCACAATAGCTAACTGTCACATGCAGTAGTTGCTTGGTTGTCAGAAATTAAACAAGATGGGGGACTGTGATTTTGTGAAATATAATGTTAAGTCCAGAAAAATAAGCTATATTCATAAGGTGAAGGTGTTTAAAATTTCAGGGGAATGTAAATGATACAGCAGTAATAATTGTACTATTTATAACAACTAGGAAGAGTGGTGGTTCTTTGTGTGGTGATGCTCACTTCTCACAACAAACATTAAATACCAGTATTCTTCTTTTATTAAAGGTACATGCAGCTTGTCTCTGTTGTGCCTACTGACCCATCAGTCCTGTCCAAGCTAGGTGAACTGTATGACAGTGAACAAGACAAGTCACAAGCATTCCAATATCACTTTGAGGTTAGAATTTTGAAAATGTAATTTACCTTCACTTACCTTTTGGTGGAGACATTACTTCAGTTTTTCCGTCCTGCCCTTTCTCTTTCTTTTCTCTGTTTTCCTCCTCCATATTTTCTTCTAGCTGGTTTTCTGTCTTGACCATATGAAAGACTTCTGCAAAAAATGCAGGTCTCATTTTCATCAATTTTCAGCTTCCACATCCCTTAAAAGAACAAGACAGTGTGATGATTTCCTTTTTTTCATCAATTCAGCATTTGAATGTAAAGCCAATTTAAAACTGATCTTAAAATGTTCTTTTTCTTAGTCATACAGATATTTTCCATCAAATATTGATATTATTTCATGGCTTGGAGCTTACTACATAGACTCTCAGTTTTGTGAAAAGGCAATACATTACTTTGAAAAAGCAGCAGTCATACAGTAAGTTGGTTCTGTTCTGTGTTCAGTATGTGAAATAACAAAAGTGACATTGATACCAGGAGCTCTACCTTCTCATGAAGACTTGCTTAGTGTTGAGATAATCCATCCAGTGAAAGCTTTCTGCAATTTTAAATGACAATTTTTTTGAAATAGTGCCCCAGGACAATGTGCTCAACCTCTCCATTATTTTCAAAGCCCCAAATTAAAGGCCTTGTCTTCCCTTACCTGGTTTTATTTACTTTTTCTCCATTCAAATGGCACCTTGCTGAGCAAGATTCCTCTACCATTGTGGTTTGTGCTCTTTCTGGTCATAATCTATCCATAGGTAAACAGCACCCAATCAAGCTAACTGTAATACAGAACACTTCCCTTAAGTTTTTGTCCCAGTACGTGACTCTTGTTATCCTAGGTTTGGATGAGCATCAACTATCATAAATGTTACAGCAATTATAGTATAGTGTTGTGGAAATGGATGTAGGCTTTTAATTTGTGAGCCACTGGGCTTGGTGAGACATATATAACTGTTAACCATTAGCCATTATTGACAAAATAAACATCCTTTTTATGTAATTTTAAAACAATGTCAAACATCATCTTCAGGCCAAATGAAGTCAAGTGGCAGCTTATGATAGCAAGTTGTTATAGAAGAAGTGGTAGGTAGTTGAAATTTGAAAATGCTGTCTTTGTTTAAATGAATCAATTTTTTGTTTTTATGCTGTATATGGCTACAGGGTAGTGGAGCTGTGGGATCTGTGGTATATGAAATGCATTCCCCTAATGTAAGTTCACCCTAAGGCATATTTTCTTGGAAAACATGCTGCAAGATGCCAGAGAAGCTCCCACTGCTTCCACGTATGGGATATATAACTGTATGTCTGATATGGAGTTAAAAAACAGTTAGGAATTTTTATCAAATCTGGTGAACAAAATTATGGAATATGTTGGTTTCTAATTAAAATTGTTTGTCCTCCCTGTACTGCATTATGCTTACGTTTATTTGCAAGTTACTCTGTTATAGAATTTTGTATCCTACTCTACATTTTCATTAGGACATACAGGTTTTCCAAATCCAGTATGCTTTCATTTTTTGTACAAAATCCTTCTTTTTACCACGACATATAAGCAAAGAAACTGTACTTTTATTGTTACAGGTAATTATCAACAGGCTTTGGAAACATACAAAACCATACATAAAAGGTTTCCAGAAAATGTGGAATGTAAGTACTTTTTACCAAAACTACATGGGTTAAAAAACACAACAGACTGTGCTCCAGTAGAACTTGAGTGTCACAGGTCACTAACTTTTGTCCTTGGGTGATTCATATAACTTTTCTTCTGTGAAAATTCTTTAAGCCACGCACTTAAGACTCTTGAGACCAGAGCCATAAGGTACTCAGTCATTCCTCTGGGAGTGTGGTGTTTTATAACAAATTTATTTCCCTATTTTATGTGAAGATGTTACTTTCCATTTAGATGAATTAGTTTCAAAGTGGTTACTCCCAAACTCCTTGCTTACCTGAAGAATCTCAAAACAAAACAAAACATGTTTAAATTTAAAATGAGTGAAAAGACAATCTTCTCTCAGAAGTTTTATGGATACTACATAAATGGTTCACTTTTGATGGTCTCCTTGAGAGTATTAAATGAGTAGAATTCAGACTATTGAATTATCACAATTTTTGTCCCAACTGATGTGTTATAGGACAGCCTTCTATAAGATTTGAAGTTTGTTCTTTGATTTCTTTCCTGGGAATTTATTGTTCTGGACACTAAGGATTAATGTGCTGTCATTGATGTGGTTGGACCAAAACCCAAGTCTTCTCAGTAACAGTGCTCTAGCAGCATACTTTGTTAATGCCTGTTTATTTTAAAGGTCTTAAATTCTTGGTGAGAATTTGCACAGATCTTGGTTTAAAGGATGTTCAAGACTATGCTCAAAAACTGAAGAAAGCAGAAAAAGCCAGAGAGATGAAGCAACAGGTAACCAAGAAATTTTGATTGACTCTTCATCTGCTTTTAGTCTGGCTCTCTGATCAATACTACTATGTCATGATAATCTTTTTATTTTGTCAAAAAGTTTCTATAATGCTATTCACAGTAAGAATTATGGTCAAAAAATGAGCCAAACTCTTTGATCAGTCATCAGTGCTGAACTTGTTTATTTGTCCAATGAATGGTCTTCCTCCTACTGCTACCACTATTGTCATGTTGTTTAATGAAAGATTTAAGTTATGACTGATACCTGCACCTGAAACTTCTTGACCCTCAGAAACAAATGTGCAGACAATACTTAAACTTATTTTAGAAAAAAGCATGAATTAGAGGTTCTAGAAATTTGACAAATGACATCAGTTCTGTTAGAACTGTCCTCTGGGAAAAAAGCATTTTTTTCTGCACTCTTCTATGTGATTCTAAGAACCCCAGAAGGAGAGACACTTAGCAAAGATGTTTGTGGAGAGGAATGTAACTCAGACATTACACTATCCTCTTTCTGCAGCGTTCTAACAGTGGATCTAGAAAAGGAAGTGGGCGAGCTGGAAGTGCTAACATGCCTGGTTCTGGTGGTTCACGCAATAACAGTGCAGGGAGTGGTAAGTGCAATTTTGAACATCACATGTTGACAGTGCAAACATCTAAAGTGGGCAGGTTGTATATCAAATTATACCCAGTAACTAGCCTATCAGATTGCATAACATAGAAATAGTCACACAACAATTAGGTTAGGGAGAGAGAGCCTCTTGTGCAGCCCCTCCTCTCAATCTTTGTCAAGAAAGAAGCTAGCTTGTTTGGGATCCCTTACAAGAAACAGCTACTGACACATAGGGAAAATATTTAAAACAGCAATGAGGAAATTCACCTAAACCCTGAATTTACGTAGATATTTTCTAAAAATCTCCCTTTCTGCTTTAATTTATGTGCTTGTAAACTTGTGAAGAAAATTGTATGTTTTGTCAATAACATTCAACAGACACTTTTGTCTATTCCCACCACCCTTTTGTTGTATAATGCATAGAACTTGTGGGGAGAAAATGCATGTCAATTGTATCAGAGAGTTAAAGGCTTTATCTTATCGGTACTTTATGTAGAGTCAGGACGAGTAGACAGTGGAGGATCGGACAGGAGGAGAAGTGCCAACCGCTCTGCTGGACGAACAAAACCATTCATTCCAGATAATGATGACTCATTTAGTTTTAGTGGATCAAAAGAAGTTGGTGAGTTGGTAGACAATTATTCCTTGGGTCAGGTTTTTAATACCACAGTTTTTAAGTATAAATTTAGTTTAGTTGGTAGCTTTGGAGACACTCCATTTATTTGTATGACTAAAAAACATATTACTTTCTTCAGTCACTATTTCGAGGCTAGGCACACACTGTAAATATCCACAATTGTTCACCTCTACTTTAGTGAATAATTTTATCTAGTTGACTCAGACTCCTTGGTCATAGTCTAAAATAGGTGAACTGATGATTTGATCAGACAATTTTATCAGTAAGATGGTCCTACATTGGTGTAACAAAACTTCTTAGCTTATTTACCGAGAGCACATAACAGATTGAAGAGAGAATTACCAATCAGACATCTAGAGTTAAAGGCCTAACCCAGGTAGTGCATGTAGGTGAAACTCTTTGGGAAATGTTTGGTACTCTTCCTTGCATTATGCACTGATTTAAAGGAATGCTTGGTAGTAGGTTATGAAGTTTTGAGTTACCTAGTTCACAAAGTATCTTCTTTCCAATAATTAACTGTTTAAACATCCTGTTTTGTAGATGCCACTTATGCAGATCCTCTTGGAGAAGCTCCAGCAAGGCCAAAGACTGCTGGCAGGCAAAGGCCACAGCAAGTTGAGGATGAATTTGGTGATGAAGAGATTGGAGATGACCTTCTTCCTGACTAGAAAAAGGAGCCTTGATTTAACAGCCATGACTGCCCTAGAAATGTAATCTTCCCACACCTGATGAAAGTTCTAGTTTAACTTATTTCCTTTTAACAATTGGTCATGACATCAAGTCAGCATACATAGAGACAATGCCTTAACATGAAAGCAAATGAGCAGCCCATTCAAGTGATTCCTTGTCAGCCCAGCTAAAGAAATTCTCTATTAAAAATGTGTTCTTCATGCGTATACCAGAGGTTTCAAGAAGCCTTTCTCAATTCCCAAAAATTCTCACTTTCACATTGAAGCCAGGTGCACAAAATTATTTTTTTTGTTAATGCAGGTTTTCAGTTTACATCAAATGCTTTGCCCTTACCTCATTATAAAACACAGGCTTGTGTATCTAAGAAATGACCCATTTTAATCAGATTTTCAGGGAAAAGGTTTCATCCTATACACAGGCTTAAGCCAGGAAAGGTTTATAATGTTCGCCATTTGACTTTAACCCTTTAGCCCCTAAGAGTGACTAGCATCTTATTTCTCCTAAGTAATCACCCCTGAACCAAACATGAAAGTAATGAGAGTAGAAGAGATGATCACCAACTAGAGCAGCTCTCGACTGCTATACAAATTTTCCTTGTCAGCCCCTTTGGAAATGTATGGAGAACAGTATGGAGAATATGTATACTGATGTTAGGGGATAAAGGGGTTATCTTTTCCACTTGGCATTTTTAAAGGGCTGGAAGGTTGACATGATTTACTTACATAAACAAGTCATAAGGGAGAGCACTGTACAAAACTGTTCAAAATAGTACTCAAGTACCCTTTAAATTATTTGTAAAATACTATTGTAATTAAAAAAAAAGGAGAGAGTAAACATCTCTTCACAAGAAACTATATTTTATTTGTTGTTAAATTTGTAATTTAGACTCAAAAAAAGAAAGAGGGAAGAGAGCCAGCTCAAGCCTAGATTCCTTACACCTTATGAAAAATCTGAACTTTCTTTCTTTATAAGTCATAATTTAACAGAACTGAAAAAGGTAAAGACCTTTTGAATGTTAATGGCTCATTATGGATGTAAGGATACTTGTCACTGCATCACATTTTTCTCCTTTCCTTTTTCTTACTTTGAAGGAAGACCTTGCGAGCACTGCACAAATTTGGTTCTTAGTTTTATAAGTGAAGATAAGTTTCTTGGACATGTAATACTTCTTCAAGTAGACAGCTCTAATCCAGAGAATGAACCACAAGTCTTAGTACAAAGGACAATGGCTTTCCTTGTTTATCATCCTTTGAGGAGACCCTCAGGTTAGACTTGCCCTGAGCTCGTCCTTGTTCTCATGTACACCCTTTGGTACTGAATCATAGTCGTGAAAATTTCAAATGTTATGCCTTGAAGGGTCAAGTTCACTTATCTACTATTCTTTAAATTGCTTGTTATTGCTGTGTTGGTCTCAAAAATATTTCATCATAACCACTAGAATCCTGGTCTGTGCTTTTTCTTTCCTTTGCCAGATTTTTTTCCTTTCTTGGCTTCAATCCTTTCTTTAATGTTTTTTCGTCTTTGTTTTTGTTTTTCCTCTGCCATTTTCTTTTGATAACCAATCCGTTCTTCCCACTGCTTTTTACTTTTTGTTTTCGCCTTCTCTCTTTTTTTCATCGCCTTCTTTAAAAGTTTAGGGTCATCGTGTTGTTTTATACCCTCAGCTTTTTCAATCGCCTGACTCCAAGAAAGTTTATCCATTAATTCTTTAGCTTTCGACAAATCCTCTTTTCTCAATGATTCCAGCTTTTTCTTTCGAGCTTCAGCTTTAGCGAGCAGTTTTTCGTAATTTTTCTTTTTCATCCCAGGTCTTGGTTCTTTCTTAGCTTCCAAGAAATCAAATTTACTAAAAACAACATCTCCACTTTCGTTCAATATTTTCTGGCTTGGTAAAGAATCGTTTTGTCTACTTCCTTTCGATTCCTTAAAGGAAGCAGCCAATTTCTGCTTATTTTTGTCTTTTACTTCTTTCTTCGATTTCTTCGCACGTGGTTGTTGTAAGCCATCTGGCCTCCCACTTCCTGCGTTACGTTTTCTTTGCAAGCCTTCTATTCTCGCATGCAGGCGAGATCTTAGGTCCTCCAGACTTTTGCTTTCCACCCTTTCGACACTAAAGTTAGGACTCTCTATTTTTTCTTCATCGTTTAGATCAATTTTATTTCCGGTGGAAGCATTTCCCTCTGCCTCTTTTTGTATTTCTTGAATTGTTTTATGCTGGTTCGGATCGAGTCTTGCACGTTTGGCTTTCCTTGATGCCTCTTTAATAGTCTGTTTAGGTGCTTTCCTCGAACGATTTTTATAAAACTTGTTTGCTTTCTCTTCTTCATCAATAGGTAGGTAATATTTCACTGGTATCAACTCGATCAGGGAATTGAAATAAGCGGAATGGCTCGCTAACCGCTTTTCCAACTCAAGTCTCTCAACGTCCGCCATCTTACTTCCCACATGTGTATCAGAGCCTCGCATCGATGACACTTTCCGATAGGCCATTGATTTGCCGAACGAACAAAGCCATGTGATCAGACCAGACCAGGCGGCTTTCAAGATGGCGGACGCTGGTTTCTTTCGGGTGAGCAAAAACTAAGCTTGATATCTAAGCTTTCACTCGCTGTTTTTGAGGGTTTGGTTAGCTAATGTACTAGAGGTTTCCCTTTTCTACAGGGCACGAGTGCAGAACAGGACAATCGATTTCTTGACAAGCAAAAGAAGTTGTTGAAATCAATGCGATTTGACGACGTTCTCAACAAAAAGGTAAGCCAGTGCTGTGTTGGCGTTTGATTTTCTCTTTCAAACTACATGGGTAACTGTAGCATATTTCACGAGTACTGCATACTTAAGGTACTTCGAAGACTTACGAAATTTTTCAGTCAATATGGACACATGCAGTATTAACAGGCATGCAGCAAAATTGTGTTATCATGTTCACGTGCAAACGCTATTGTGTTTATGAGCCAGGGGGAAGCTTAAATTAGTTGACTAAGGAAATTGAAAATGTTAACAATTTACGTATTTTTCATCGAAAAAACTTTTAAATTTAATACGATGCATCAATAATTTTTATTTTTGGCTCGAAAATTATCATTAAGGAGTGACCTTAATGAGTATACCAAGGACTTAAAGTCTTAAGCTGCCACTATGGGCCACATCATTGAGGCACTGTACAGAAAGAGTTCTTTATTTTCAAATGTTTCTTTGACTTATAGCTTTGAGCATACTTGATAGACCAAGACGGCAATAAATGCCGTTTGTATTATTGTCATGTAGGCAAAATGAACAATGCTCGTTTACACCATAACATCAGTTTGCAAGTTCTCCAAGTTCTCCTTACCATCCTCTATATTTTTCCCATGGTACTTACAAGGATTATTTGCTTTAGTAAGAGCTTCTTTACCAACCATTGTTATTGTTTCCTTTACTCTCATGACCTTGATGTCTGATTCAGGTGTGATGCTGTTGCAAGAAATTAGATCTAAGCTTTTCACTCTCATGGGTTAAAGGGCTAAGATTGTAGTTCAGGCCCTGGTTTTTTTAAGGGTAGATAGTGCTATCCTGTAGGTGAATGGCAATCCAATTTTGGTAAACTAGTTTTAAACCATCATGGATAGATCAATGAAAATGTATTCCATGAATTGTGTTATACAGCCTTCAAGTAACTGTCACAACATGGTAGAAATAATAGAGAGCCTTGCCCTTTCGTTAACATGTCTTTTCTTTTCTGAATTTTTGTGTGTCAGGTGGACATGGAAAAGGTCAACCTTGATATAATAAAACCTTGGATAACAAAGAAGTTGATTGATATACTTGGAGCTGAAGATGATGTGGTTATGCAGTATGTCTTTAACATGCTAGAATCAGAAAAGGTGAAATAATGATTACTCATTTTACAGTCACTTTCTCTTGAGCTTTGAGTTTCACTCAGGGGGCCTTACAGAGTGACATTCTAATAGAAATAGGTAAAGAACAACATAGAATACAAGTAGAGAACCCAGGAAGCAACCTCTTAACCAGGATACCAAGTCTCCCTTGTCGAATTATTGTAGTTGAAACCTTCCAGAGGTGACTGCATTTTACAGTCTTTTGACAGGGTATGGGAAAATTAAATTGAAATCTTGCAGGAAAAATGTAAACTGTGCAGGATTATACAGCATTTTTGAACATGTATTTGGTACAATGATAGGGTTTTTTCATACTGGTATTAAGCTATTGTTTTACTCACTAATCAGTTACTGTTTCTTCCCTTTCCAATTATATATTATAACTGCCTTTCTTTATTTACAAAACTGTGATTTCAGCTGTGAGAAAAACATTGGGATTTTAAAGTATTACCTATTTATTTTTTATGTATTTGTTTTTTCAGAGTCCAGATCCAAAGTTCATGCAAATAAATATTACTGGCTTTTTACAATCCAAAAATGCCCGTGAATTTATGAAGGAGTTATGGACTCTTCTTTTAAGTGCACAAGAAAATATTGGTGGTATTCCTTCTGAATTTATGGAAAAAAAGAAAGAGGAAATCAAGCAAAGAAAGGTTTGAATTCTCTGTTGGAAGAGGAATTGTTAGGATACTCAATAAAGAATGATTCTTGGGGCATTTGGAATCCAAATTGTAGATTGATATTTTTACTCTTGGGCTGGGTTATTTTTGTTTTAACTTTGCTCTCATGACCATTTTCACTGAGAGCAATATTCAATTGTGTGTCCCTAGTAGTTGGCAAATATATTTGCTTTGCTTCAGAGCATTACCCCTTTGTTAGAGTGCCCTGACAAAGGGCTAATGCTCAAAATGTCAACTTTACAAACTCTTAACAGCTGATTGCCAATTTACATTATCAACTCAGTTGATAAAACCCAAATTATCTTGTAACACCCTCCACCAATGTAGCATCACAGTCTCTTTAGAAACTTACCTCCTTAATCCATAAATCATATTCAAGCCTGATAAAAACCTGATTACTGTTTTGAGCTCTCTGATTCAGTTTTCTTTTCCTGTGAATTAGAGCTCTCTCTCTCTCTCTGTATAAAGACCAACTGAAATCCTTGAAACTAGCGACACTAGTTCAGTGCAGAGAGTTTCTTAGTTTGTTTCAGCTTTTTAAGTTCATTAAAGGATACTCTTCTGTAAACACTAATGATTAGATATCCTTCAGTAACAGGCAATCAAGAAAAAGTCATCAGTTTAAACTATATAAACCATTTTGCTCTACAGATATCTCTAAGTATTCTTTTTGGCACAGATATATTGACACATGGAACAGTTTACCATCATCAGTAGTTGAATTTGACTCAATGAATGCTTTTAAGAAAGCACTAAAATCAACATTATTTAACTAGGCCTGTAATTACAAAATTAAATTATTCTATGTATTATACATTATTTAATTATCATTTTAAACAAAATTTTTATCTTAGATATGTCTTCTTTATTTAGATCTTATATTGATATAGATATATGCTTGTGTGTAAAATGTTTCAGTATGTATATGTATATTGCATAGTATTAAATTTTTATATCTGGGATATAGTTTACAATGAGGATTAAGTTCCTCCCTTCTATAACCCTTTTTTAATAATAATATGTTATATGTTATTATTTAAATAAAGTTGTTATGAATAAATGTTTATTTGCATTTTTGATAATTATGGCTGTTGTCTTCTTCTCTTGATAGCTGGAACAAGAGCGTATCCAAGCTAACCTTCAGAGATATCAAGGAGATCAGCAGCAAACAGAGCCAGACAGCACAGCAACAGATGATAATGTAGGCAATGAAAATGGATCTGCACCTGCATCTGGTGACATTACAGAGGAATTTCGGAAAGCTAAAGAACTGGCAGAGCAACTAGCAGGGAAAGAAGTGAGCATTTCTCAATTTCTTTTTACAATTGATTAACCATAGTGATAGAGAACTGTTAACAAGAATTGGAAGAATCTTGTGGAGGCTCTCATTGTTCAGATGCAGTAGATTGACATGTCAGGTAATCATATTACATGTGTTCACAGGTTTCACACATTCTATACCCTGTTCTTGATGAACCAAGGTGGTTAGAAAAATTGGGATTGTAAGCAGGGCTTGAGATTGCAACTGATGCTGGCACCAGTGTGACTAACATGTTCTGGTCTAGTCACTGTGTTACCATTTGAGCCTCTTGAAAATGTAGCTATTATCTTTCAAGTTCATTTTTTTACCATCTCCACCTTTAACTGTCCTTGTTTCTATCAATTTTTACAATTGCCTTTTTTTTTTTTTTTTTTTCATTTTCTTAGTTTAATTAACTAGCATTATTGTCTCTGACAAGTTAAGGGTGGTAGGTCACAAAAGTAATTCCAAATATTGTGACAGACCACATCATCTTTGAATAGAAAAGGCTTTGTTAAAAAATAGTAATAATAATAAGAATAAAAAGGAACAAAATTGATAAAAATGGGTATAACTTGTATGCTATAGAAAATTATGCATTCACTCATGTTAGGTAAAATGGTTTTCTTTGTGATTTTCATCAAATCCCAAGGTAAAGCTGTGAAAGTCAAATTGAAATCCATTGTATTTATTTAACACTTTTTGTACACTGGTGTTTGTCAGAAATGTCAGGAAAATGCATTTCTGACTAGGTGCTTCATGAAGGGAATTTCTTTAATTGTAAACAACATCCTCCCTGGAATGAACAACTGATAATAATAATAAAATCAAGAAAGATGTTTCATATTTGTCACCATTATGGGAAAAATAAAAATCTGTTTTCCACTGGTTGATTCTAACCCCAGCCACTGCCAATTTTACACATGATTACTTCAACTAAGTTTGGAAGAACTTGTCGGTGAACTAGGCCATATGCAATGCATGCTTCAAGGATCTACAATGTTGGAAGTGCCTGGTTGTGAGATAGAGGAAGGCGAAGTTGCAATCAGAACATATTCTAAGAGTTTGAAATGGAAGCTGACAACACAAGCTCAATATACAACAATGATACAGCACTACCACTCTCAGGACCAAGAGAGTTGTCTCCTGAACAGGGATACTTCAAAAGAGAGGTTCTCAATTAAATTCATGGAAAGAGGTCTTCTGGAGAGGTTTAACACATCCTCTGAATGAAAAGAAATGTTTCTTAGAATAGCATTTCTCTCCAAGTGTAGTGTATGTTACTCTTGCTGGACATTGGTGGCTGGCTAATGCCTCTTAAGGTAGAAACATAAGTGAGCTGCTTCTGCATCTACTTCAGTAATATTTGATTTTTGCCCTGATGTAAAGAGCTACATATGCACTATTACTTTGGTGTGTATGTGTTCTATAGTTTGAGATGTAACCCAGTCCATTTATATGTAGTTCAAGGTGCATTAAAGAAAGATGTTTATATTCCTAACAAGCACTGGGAAAAAAATTAGTTGTTCCTCAAGATGTAAAAGAATTTCAGCCAGTTTTTATATCATTGTTAGATGT